AAAAACCTACAACAACCCAGTGATTCCGGCCATGAAAGCCTTCGACAATACATTGTTCTCCCACTCACTTCAAAGACACAGTATCTAATACTCAAAGTCTGCTGTGCTGTTTTGGCACCTGGGGCTCAAAATCCCATAAGGGCCTCTTCTTAATCTTGGCAGCCATTTATCATCCTTTTATTAATCTTCTGCTCAATCTCATTTTGGCTAATGGCAGAGTTGGCCCTGGTATGCCATCAGAAGTCTCCATAATATAACCAAGGATGTGTTGCCTTTGGCTTTATGATGTCACCGAACTTTACAGAATACAGCAAGCTAATCCAATGCCATGTAACAAGCAGTATTACATTTTTATTGCTACTACATGGGGTAAGAGTCATAGCTCAGTGGATTATTATTATGAGCTGTTCTTGAAAAACACATAGTTTGAATCCCTGGAATCCTGAAGACAGCAATGGTTCCCTGCCTAAGACTACAGATGAAGCAATGCTCTCAAGATGGTGAATACGTAGCCTTCCATTAAGTGTTGGACTGCAATTACAGTCATCCCCACCACTGATTATGCTGGGTCAAGACTGTAATCCAAAAACATCTGGAGGTTCATAAACCTGCACCCTAGGCAACTAGATGTCTATCACTAGACCAGCCTGGTATATATCCACTTTGGCTTAATCCTTTTTAAAGACACGAGAAAAGGGTTTTTCCCCCCATGTCAGGAGTGACTTTCAAAACTGCAAGTTGCTTCTGGTGTGTGAGAATTGGCCATCTGCAAAGACATTGCCCAAGGGGGCGCCTGGATGTTTTACCATCCTTCTCTCATGTCGCCACATGGGAAGCTGGAGCTGACAGACAGGAGCTCAACCCATTCCCCAAATTCGAACTACCAACCTGTTAGTCAGCAGTCCTGCCAGCAGAAAGGTTTAACCCATTGCACTGCTGGGACCTCACAGTTGGTTCTGCTAGCTAGAACTAATCATCCAGCTACTTCTGGCAGCTTTATGATTCTCATCCCTTTTAATAGTTCTGGGAAATGTTGTGGTATATATAGATGTTTTAAATACATAAACATGAGGTGACATGATTGATTCTTTCAGATAACCTCCTTAACAGGGACAGATTTACACACAGAGAGAGAAATCTTAAATTATTTCAAGGAACTCCATAGCATTATCCTAGTTGTGTTGTCCCATATCCTCCAACCGCCTTCGTTTTGCAGAGACAGCTCCAATTAATCCTCTTATGTCCCACTTTCTCAGCTGCTTTTGAAATGTCCCTATTTCTCTCTATTCAACCCACTTTCCTCCTTTGTTTCCAACTTACTTCAATGACTGAAAAAAAGATTACTGTACTTTATTAATTCATTAATCAGCAAAAACAATCCATAGAAGCGTCACCTAGCTTTTCTGTTCTTCATTGATAACTTTTTCCATCTTGACCATACTCAGATATTATTTGACCACACGTATTTCAATTTTCATCTCCAAAATGTGGACGTGCACGTTGTTCCAATAATGATGCCTAAAATTGATATTTAGGGTGCTTTTATCTTGAGCTGTGGATATATGTAAAGGCTTTACATACACTGATTTCCTAAACCAGCACTATCCAAACTGTTTCGCAACACATTAGTATGTCAGCTGCAGTGTGTAGGTCTGGCACATGAATGTTATGAGAAATGACAAAAATCTTGGAAATGTATGCTATTATAAATGAAAGGTTTTCATGAGATATGTTGTGTCCCAATATATTTTATTACTATTTTTCTCTGGGTCCATATCTGTTATGAGGGGTTGGTTTAATCTCTGGTTTGCTAGTAAAACTGAATTACTGTTGTGAAATGATGCCTGCCTAAAAAGTGCTTCACCAACATGACATGTTTGCAAAGCTGTGCCCTAAACTGTAGTTTATTGAACATGAGCAAAATTCTGACTGTGTAATGTTAAGTATGCCTCTCTACTAAATACCTTAAGGGCACCAGACCTGGAAGCTAAGCAGGGTCATTTGGATGGGAGACCCCTAATAAATCCAGGGTACTGTACACTATATATATGAGAAGGACGAAATGGCAAAATCCCCTTGCCTTGGAAAAACCTCTTAAATTAATGGGGTTGGCTCTCCATAAGTTGACAGGCGATTTGAAGGGGTGTATAAATCATTAGTGATATTTATTGTATTTGACTATTACAAGTTCAGTAAAAAACAGAACTAAAAACCGAACTATTGTATTTGACTATTACAAGTTCAGTAAAAAAATACATGCACATTTATAGCAATACCAAAAATGTACCCTCTACATTTGAAAGCAATATCTTTCAAGATACTTTTAGCATCCTTAACAAATAAGGCAGTTTTGTAATGTACATGCGCCCATTAAATACAGTATGGAAAATTTGCAAGTCTCCCTCATTTCCCCAATGAATGAGGGAGACAACTCATGTCCACATTTTCTCCTCAAATGATGGTCATCTGGTTGTTGTATCCCTTCAAGTTGTTCTCATCTTATGACCAGTGTGGTGTAATGGTTTGTGTTTACTGTTTTGATTTTTTTTGTTTCTATTGTTGGTTATGGCATTGAATGTTTACCATCTTTGTTGGAAACCGCCCTGAATCCCCTTGGGAAGAAAGGGCGGATTATAAATAAAGATTATTATTATTATTATTATTATTTTACTGACACAAAAGCACAGTATGTCACAGCAAATGAGATCTATATGCTGGATTTCGTATCACAAAATCACTAGTTGAACACTTCCCAAACCTTTAGGACTGTGTGATGTATTTTTGAATGATGTCTACAGATCAAGTAAGGTGGCCTTTTGCAGGTGACATATTGTGATTTTTGTCAATGTTTATTGTTTTCAAATGCCGGCTGAGATATTTTGGCACGCCACCCCGATGACCACTGGGACCACCTGCGCTGGTTTATGCCAAAGCCTTTGCAGTTTGATTTTGAGGTCTTGAGTTTTTCCTGTTGTTTTTCGTCAATTCAACTGTCACCTGGTATGGTAATATCAATAATACAAACTTTTTTTCTTTTCTACAATTGTAATGTCTGGTGTATTGTGTTCCAAAACTTTGTCAGTCTGGATTCAAAAGTCCCACAGTACACCCCCCCCATGACACCCCCCCCCCCCGATGGGTGCGACCTTGTTGTGGTGGGGGGGGGGGGCTTAATTCTCTAAGGATGCTGAGAGCTGTGCTGGTGGTAGTGTAACTAACAGCAGGTCCAACCAAGTCAGAGAGGTCTCTGCTGAGGAGTGGAACTAAGAGCACCTAACCCATCAGCACTATGGAGAAACAAACCAAAACTAAATCTATTCTGGCTTGGTCATAATCCAGGATAAAAAGGACCATGATGGATGCTGCTGATTCTGGACATCCATCAAAAAGTGGGCTACAGAATCAAAATACAAATGAACAATCACAGAAGCATCAGAAATATACAATGCCAGAAAACTGCATCATCATCATCATTATTATTATTATTATTATTATTATTATTATTATCTCTTTTTAAAAAGAGAGAAATCCTCTGAACAGGCAGTTCCTAGTCTCAAAAGATTTCTACATCACCTTTGTTCGGGGGTTTCTCACAGTTGGCCAGTATGGTGTAATGGATTCAATTCCCACTTGACTGTGGCAGTCAGTGTGTGATATTTTGTTGTAAACCGCGTTGAGTCGCCGGCTAGGCTGAGAAACAGCGGTATACAAGTATAGCAAATAAATAAATAAATAAATAAATAAGTCACATTCTCTAAGTCTCACAGGATGACAAAGGCAAGACTACTTAAAAAAAACTGTCAAGACCCCCCCCCCCCCAAATAGTAGGGTTGCTATAAATTGGAAACTACAAACACAGGGGTTTCTTGGCAATATATGTTCCGAGGGGGTTGCTTTTGCCTTCATAGAATCCTAGAGTTGGAAGAGACTTCCTGGGCCATCCAGTCCAACCCTGTCAAGAAGCAGGAAAATTGCATTCATAGCATCCCCAACAAATGGCAATCCAGCCTCTGTTTAAAAGCTTCCAAAGAAGGAACCTCCACCACACTCTGGGGCAGAGAGTTCCACTGCTGAACAACTCTCTCAGTAAGGAAATTCTTCCTAATGTTCAGATGGAATCTCTTTTCTTGTAGTTTGAAGCCATTATTCCATTGCATCCTAGTCTCCAGGGCAGCAGAAAACATGCTTGCTCCCTCCTCCCTATGACTTTTCTCACATATTTATACATGGCTATCATATCTCCTCTGAACCATCTCTTCTTCAGGCTAAACATGCCCAGCTCTTTAAGCTGCTCCTCATAGGGCATGTTCTCCAGACCCTTGATCATTTTAGTCGCCCTCCTCTGTACACATTCCAGCTTGTCATACCTTCCTCTATGGCTGAGAGAGTGTGGCTTGCCCAAAGTCACCCAGTGGGTTTCCATGGCCACAGGGGGATTTGAACCCTGGTCTCAAAGTCCACTATTATGTGCTCACCAACTAAGAGTTGGCAGTGACAAGTCCCTGGTTGCTTCCAAGCCACAGACTTCCAGCCGGGTTGCTTTGAACTCCTCAAGACTGGCTCTTCCAGAAATGTTTCTGCCTGCTGCTGCTACAGAGAAACACACGCACATCTAGAGTGACTGCTGCTTGGAGGGCGGGTGGATAGGGGGTGTGGTGCTCCCAGCCATCCTGATGAGAGGCTTTTCCAGCTGAGAGCTGCCAGGCATTTGGCCAAATTGCTCTCCTGGCTGCCACCTCGGCGGCGCTTTGCCTGCTGTTGCTCCCAGAAGAGGGAAGGTGCAGCAGGGCTGACTCTCTCTCTCTCTCTCTTTCAATCTCTTTTTGTCCAGTCTCTGTGTCAGACCAGGAAGCCAACAACAAGATCCTGCTGGCTCCTTGCTGTTCATTGCCAGACGGCAGTCTTTTGAGTTTCATCAGCAAATGATTGAGCTCCCAGGAAGCTTACCTCTCCTCTAAAAATGGGGCCAGCCTCTGTGGGTCTTCGTGCTCCTCCTGCCCAAGGATTGGACTTGCTTTTCCTCCTAAGGTCATCCATGATCTGACCCATTCGGGGTGGGATATGAAGGTGAGTGTTTGGTTATAGGCGACGGGTGATGTAGGACATATCAAAATTGTAGAATTAATGCAGTTTGACACCACTCAAACTGCCATGGTTCAATGCTATGGACTCACAGGAGTTGTAATTTGATAAGACATTAGCACTTTTTGGATAAAGACCTTGCTTTTTTATGTCAGGAGCGACTTGAGGAACTTCAAGTTTCTTCTGGTGTGAGAGAATTGGCCATCTGCAAGGACATTGCCCAGGGGGTGCCCAGATGTTTTACCATCCTGTGGGAGGCTTCTCTCATGTCCCCACACTCACCCCACTCCCTGGATTCGAACCACTGACCATTTGGTCAGCAGTCCTGCTGGCACAAGAGTTTAACCCATTGCTCTACCGAGGGCTCCTTAAAGACCTTGTAAAATTACAGGATTCAACTGCATTGAGCTATGGCAGTTAAAGTGATGTCAAACTGCATTAATATTATAGCTCAGATATGCCTTCTAAAAAGAGCCTAAATACCTTGATCGGATACATATTCATAGAAATTGATGGAATGTGTTCTTAGAAATTCTAACAGTATTCCAATAAAATGGTATCTACTATCTAGAAGTTCTACCAGATATGCATTGGACTGAAGTGTTCAGGTGACAAGTTACAATTGCTCGATAGAAAGCATTTTTAACATGCTTAAAACACTATTATGTATATTCATAGTGTCTTAAACATGGAAAGAATGCTTCCATCCACAGCCAGCCTAAATATTCTATTGACACCAGGTCCTGCAGGGTCACTCCTGGTTAGTACTTGGATGAAATATCACCAATAAATACCAGCTGCTGTGGGCTGTATTTGAGAAAAAGACAATGGCAAACCTCCTCTCGGTATTCCTTCCCTTGGAAAGGGAATTTCATGGGGGCACAATAGGTTGAAGTCACACAAATGCACACATACACGAAGTGGGGCTACCTTTCAGGAGGTATCTAATCAATTCTTCTCACTCATGACCTCAAACGTGTGTTGGATAGTCATGGGGATCCACAATGCTCTATTAATATTTTGGTTAATGGGAATCACAGTAAATCTGGTGGATTTTATTCAGTTTAGTAGATGCCAGATGGACTCATCAATTGTTTTCCATACAGACATAGGGCGTAGTAACAGAGAGATGTCTGATAGCGGTAGATAAAGCAAACTCAGTACTGGAAAATCTCCAGATCTCACCTCTAATATCACAGGATGGTCTTATGCAAGCCATTGTTCTCCTAGCTTCCCTTTCTGTTGCAGCTAATAGTCTTGATCTGCTGGAAAAAATGTGTTGTAAAGGTTGCCGGGGTAAAGTGCTTTGGGCACTTTGAATTATGAGAATCGTGTAGTTCTGTATTATGCATATAATAACATATGTATATTGTTGCTGTAGCACTTAGGATTGTTATTATTCATGGCCCTGCATGTATTCCTGTGTTATTATAATTTGGCTATTCCAGCGGATCACCGATTCCAACAACTCCTCAGCACGGCCCTCCCATTGTGTTGGCAGAAGGAAAGAATCTGAGAAGGGAGTTGTTGCCATTGTTCCTTCTGAGCCGCTTCCTTTTCTTCCCAAAGGTGGTCCGGAGCAGGCAGGGAGGGTGGAATGTCGGGTTTCCACTTGGTGAGATCTCAGACTTGCCTCAGCTCTCTGAGGGTCTCCCTGAGGATCCCATCTCCGACGACAACCTTCTGGACGTGATTTGGAGAAAGATGCATCTGTTCCGCAGCTGCAGTTACCGGATCCAGTTGGAAGGGCAGGTGGGAAGTGCTCCACGGATCCAGGGCATCCGATGGGTGAGTAAAGATGCTCTGTGATTTTTAGTGATGGGGGTGTCTGGGTTTGTTTGTTTATTTGTTTAGGAGAGGTTTTTTCCTGACTTGGTATGTTGATTGAAACAACTGACAATTCAGGTAGGCATGACAGTTCCACTCAGCCGGGACAAACCACGCGTTCCTTATCATGCCAAGAGCAGGTTTTGCAGGCCACTGGGAGTCAGCCTGGTATAGCTCACACAAACAGGACCAAGGATCACCGTGTTCTTGGCTCTGGAAGGGACATGGAGCCATTTTCCAAAAGCAGCATTTGTGCACATGTATACCTTGTTGATGGAAATATGCTCCACTTAAGCATGCCCTGGGACAGTCTTCATCGCCTGTAGTCCCCTTTTAGTTGTGGTGAGCTTCCTTTTCTTGCTATATTGATTGTTAGGGTTGCATTCCTGCCAGTTCTGCTTTCTGTTTATTTTTTTTCTTCTTTCCTGCTTCTGGTATCAGGCCGCTACACACATGCTCTTTGTTTGTTTATAAAGTTTGTGTTTTGCCTTCCCCAAAGGAGCACAGGGTTATCCCAGTTTATCCTTTGTACATCTGGAAAGTGTATGCATGCGTGCGTATGCGTATGCATGCATGAAAAGGGGGAAAATGGGACTGGAGATGGGGGAGAGAGAATGATTGCCTATACCTTGCTCACCCAATGAGTTTGATAGTTGAACCCAAAACCTCCCGGTCTAAGGGTGTAGTATTCATGAAGTGGGATACCACATTACCTGTTATGGTTCCATGCTATGAAATCATGAGAATTGTAATTTTACAAGATCTTTAGCCTTCTCTGCTAAAGAGTGTTAGTGCCCTACCAAACTACAACTGACAGGATTCCATAGCACTGAGCCAAGGCAGTTAAAGTAGTGTCAAACTGCAATAATTCCTAATTACCCTTAGTAGCCCCCTATCTTGTTCTACAGGTTATGGGTAATGCCTTTTAAAAATATATAGGGCATGGATAAGTTGGACATGATGGAAGTCATCGTCCCACATTGCTGCAGACTACCTGATCATTCACATTTGTTTCGGAAAAGGATTCATCATTGCTCCTGACATGATAAATAAATTTATATCAAGCCTTTCTAGTGGTCAAAGCCCTTGATGTATCAACACCTGGTACATCTCACAACTATCGTATATACTATGTTGTGTTCAGCATTAAAACTTAATCCAGACAAGACAGAGGTGGTCCTGATCATTCAGAAGGCAGACCAAAGAATAGGCGTCCAGCCTGTGCTGGATGGGTCACACTTCCCCTGAACATAGGTCTACAGTTTCGGGGTCCTCCTGGACTCAGCCCTGAACCTGGAGGCCCAGGTATCTGCGGTGGCTGGGAGGACATTTGCACAATTAAAACTTCTGCACCAACTGCTCCCATTCCTTGAGAAGGCAGATTTGGTCATGACATAATATGCCTTAGTTACAGCCTATCTTGATTACCGTAGTGCACTCTACGTGGGGCTGCCTCTGAAGAGTGCTCAGAAACTTCAACTGGTCCAAAGAGCTGCAGCCAGGTTGCTCACTGGGGCTAGCTGCAGGGAGCAGACAACCCTACATCGCAGCAGCTACTGGCTGGCAGTCTGTTTCCGGACACAACTCAAAGTGCTGGTTATGACCTTTAAAGCCCTTGACAGATTATGTCCAGGCTATTTGACTGACCGCATTCCCCTGTGCAAACCTGCCTGGGCCCGGAGTTCTTCAGGAAAGGCCCTTCTTTTGGTCCCGCCTCCATCCCAAGCCCGGTTGGTGGGAATGAGAAAGAGGGCCTTTTTGGTGGGTGCCCCTTGACTTTGGAACTCCCTTCTTCCCAGGGAAGCCAGGATGGCCCTCTCCCTGCTGTCCTTCCGACAGCAGGCTAAAACCTTTTAGTTCAGCCAGACTTTTAAAGATGAAGGTGTTTAAGATCTAGTCAGGAGGTGCTGTGGTTTTTAACTTTGAATTTGTTTTAATGTTCTCACACCAGAAGTGACTTGCAGTTTCTCAAGTTGCTCTTGACATATACAAACCCCGTCTTGTTGTATTGATCTTTTAAAAAATGGAACATTAACAGATGCATTGTATGGGCCTGTATTTTTTTTAAAGTAAATCAACCATTTCTGTGTTGGTTTGGGAGTCTTCCACCCAAACTTGCTCACCTGTCTTCTTGCTCTCACATAGGAGGTGAGAAATCTCATTTGGGTAGCAATTCTCAATTAAAACAAAAAAGCAACTGTAAACACAATTTTGTTAGTGGCTGTCTATATATGTGAACATTTTCCCATTTTGTATTTACTTGCCCATCCATTGCCTTCCATTTTCAAATAATCACCCTTTTAGAAAGGGGGGCAGACATAACTACTCTGTGCTCCAGACTCATATCCACAAGAATTGGCTTTTTCTTCTTTAAGGGCCAAGGCCTGTTGTTTTATGGTACATATCTAACACAGTTTGGAGAGTATTTATTTCTGCTGTATGCCTTCAAGTCATTTCTGTCTTATGGCGACCTTAATCTGAAAATCATAGGGTTTTCTGGGGCTGAAAGTGTGTAACTTGCTGAAGGGTACCCAGTGAATTTTCATGGCTGAGGGGGGATCTGAATCCTGGTCTTTAGAGTCATAATCCAACACCCAAAGCACTATGTTATGCTGGAACTTCTCACCTGAAAATGCCAGCTGGGTTTCTCAACAGTCTAATGATGAATCAGTAAGTCCTTTTAGAAGAGAGCAGGGCAACTCTGACCCCTTTGATGCCCTTTGAATTGTAATTCCCCAACAATGGCCATGCTTGCTAGGATTTCTGGGATATGTAGGCCAAAAGCACATCTGGAGAGCATAGACTGCTCACCCCTCTCTTTAACAGGGCATTCCTATTCTACCATACCCTTCTATTGATCATCCCACTTACAGTCCATCAAGTTTTCCTTGTGCCTTGGGATCATCATGTGGAATATTCCTCGGTTCCTCAGCACCTTCAGGGCAGATTTCCAAGGCTGCACTCCACAGAATTAGTAAGAGGTTCCTCAAATGCACCAGGGCTGATTTACTATTTGAAGCTCCTTTTTTTCATACACCATTAACTCTAGGATCTAAAAATTGCTTTATACCACCATTGTTTTCTTGCCACCTATTCCTTTGTTGATGGCTCCCTTTCTTCAAAGGTACAAACAATTTGTATCTTACACAAATAGAATTATCTCTTTCTCTTCCACTTTACTGTTTGCTCCTATTTCACACAAGTTCTACTCCACCAAAATATGTTTTGAAGTACAGAATATCATCCTGGCAGTCCCCATAACCAGGCCCCAAAGATGGGAGCAGCTGGATTAATCCATACTGACATTCCAGTTCTCACATATATTTAAATCTTTCCCTGGGAGGAGGAAGGAGGTCTTTTGTAAAGTAAATGGATCTAATTTGCCTGCTCAAGGCCATCTTTCAAATAACTGGCATTTATAACAGAGGTGGCTCAGAACAAAACAGATTGAGTATTCTGTATCCAATTTGCTTAGAATCAGAAGTGTTTGGGAAAATGAATCCTGGGATATTCAACATACCATAATGTTTTGGATATATTTGAAGTCCAAACACAAAAATATACCTGTTGGCACAGTGGGTTAAACCACTGAGCTGCTGAACTTGCTGACCAAAAGGTTGATGATTTGAATCCAGGAAGTGTGATGAGCTCCCGCAGTTAGCCCCAGCTTCTGCCAACCAAGCAGTTTGAAAACATGCAGATGTGAGTAGATCAATAGGTACTGCTTCTGTGGGAAGGTAATGGTGCTCCATGCAGTCATGTCAGCCATATAACCTTGGAGACCTCTGAACAGCGCCAGCTCTTCAGTTTAGAAATGGAGATGAGCACCCTACCCCACCCCCCGAGTCAGATATGACTAGACTTAATGTCAGGGGAAAGCTTTCCCTTTACTTTTATACCTTATGTGTGTAGCCTAAAAGTAATTATATACAAAATATGTTTAATAATGATGGACATGAAATAAAGTTTTTGTATGTTGAATCCTCAGAAAACAAAGGTTTTGCTTTCTCAGTCTCCATTGTAGAGAATTTCAGATTTTGGAGTGTTTCAGATTTTTGATAACAGATGCTCAACAGACATGATTGCAGCTAAACTTAGAGGGGTAAAGAAAATCTTTGGACCAATACTGGTAGATAATGTGTTTAACCCTGAAATATCAAAAGTCTAGGTGTTTCCAAACCCTTCGAGCTGTACTGATTTAGCAGGGACAGTCCTGATTAATCCTCTGTTGTTGCACTTTTCCAGGTGATTTTAAAATATCTTTTTTTTTCTTTTTTCCTTCCCACTATCCACAGTTTACTTCACTTGCTGCAAATTAGGGAAAAAGAGAGGGCAGAGTTTTACTCATTCAAGTAGACAAACAAAAACAAAACCCTGATGCAACCTCTCTTAGTTTGTGTGTTTAGCCTCTTTAATAACTTGGGCCACCATGACCACACTCTGATGTTCCTTGGCCACACCTGTCTCAGTTTTCTGTGAAATGTTGACCGGTATGTGCTTCACTATCACAGATCTTTGTTCCACTCCTTTAATGCTCCTGATAGAAGCCATAGAAGAAGGGAGCTGCTGGCAAATTCTTTTTGGCCCCACTCATCCTTCTTAGAAAGGGTCAGGAGCGGAAGTGTCCTGGATGGCCTTGAGTGAAGCATTGTCATTTAACCTCACCTCCCTCCCAGCATTGTCCGGAGTCTCAAACTGGCCCTTAGAGTGATTTGGAGGAAGGGCGGGATAGCAATGTCACAAGTGGAAAAATAAACACACGGCAAGTAGTTTGCGTCCATGGAGCCCGGGGCAAGTTTGCATCAAACCTATGTTTTCTGAAAATCAGAGCTTTCCTTCAGTAATGCCAAAAGAAGGGGAAATAAGATCATGTCAAAAGAGAAACACTCTGCACAAAGTTCATGAAGGCACACAGTCCTTTATTTAACTCAATTTGTGCAAACCGAATTCAGATTACTAAA